TGCCTTGAATACATAAAGTGATCTCTAAGTAAGCAGGTTAAAAAGGAATAAATCAGTGTTCACAAATGCCGTACTTAAACTTGGTTGGGTTTTGATAATTTATGCCTTTAATGTCTCTACGCCACACTTCGCCCTTCTGCGCAGAGTAAGTAGTGCCGTGTCACTTCCCAGGCATCCTGACAGTAAACATGCATTACTCTTCACAAAGCTGGCAGGAACAGTGATGAAAGCCCCAGCAGAAAAGGCCACAAGTAAACAAGTTTTATACTTTGTGCAGAATTTCAGTGATACGCAGTAAATAACACATGGGTTTCCCCACCAGGCTGATTTTGAATTTTTAGCTAGTCAGAGACATCATCTCTCACTCCCATGGTTTAGATGTAGGAAAAGGAGAGCAGACAAATTAGGAGCAGGACAGTATTTAGTGCACGGTTACAGTGCTACACTGGCAAACTTTTTTTTAGATTTCTAAATTCCAGAGATTCAACTCTGCAGACTTTAGGGGTTTATTTTGGAGCGTTCACTTGAGCCCAGCCTTCCTCTGCCTCCCTGCTGACATGGTCACACGGGGGCAGCCTGTCCCTGCGGAGCATGCTCTGCACCTGTGTGGAAACTGCTGCCCAGTGGTGGTTTCTCTGAGTCGGTCTTTCCCAAACTAGGTTCTCAGCAAAATGACAATCATCTGGTTACAGTAAAACTGTAACTGGACAATAATTATGGAAGCAAAAATATATTTCTGAGAGCACTATGACCAGCATTGTGTGAAGGCTGCATGACTGACCTTTCACTTAAGTTAGCTACAGTACACAAATAATTTGCTTGTTCTTTAGGTAGTTTATACCATAACTGCCAACTGTGGCAGACATTCAATACTGCTTTGCAGCTTCTTCAGAACTGGGCACCTTTCAGTACTCATAAAGCTTTGGTTGCAGTGAGTAGGATCTCATGCACAAGCGCCTTGAAGAAGGCCATCCCTCCAGTTCTTTATGCATGGTACAATGTGTGACCTGAGACCAAATTCAAGGAATCATGGCAGAACTGTGGGATTCATTCCTTTTAAATGTAAATGCTTCTACATCATCTGTGGATTTGTTTTGTTTTGTTTTGTTTTTTAAGTTGTACAATGAAATCAGACAGATCTTTACTCACAGGATATTGTGCTTCACATGCAACTAATTAGTAAGAAACACTAGTGGAAAGGAACTAAAGAAAGGAGCAGTTCAGCAAACGTACCTTCATAACCTGTAGTATGTAGAAAATTCTACTGCATCTTCCAAGTTGACTCTCATGCAGCTCTCCTGTACCTCTCCAAACACGTGTGTAACAAAGCCAGCTGGATGCCTCTAGGTTTTGCAGCTACAGTGTCCAGAAATGGCAAGAATTTCACAGGTTTTGCTTGGATAAGTAGCTGCCACTGGAGATGTAACATCTTCCTCTACACTGTTAGCACCTGTCTTTTCTTCTGCTTGTAATGTTTAGGTATGCAGATGAATCTAACATTTTTTACAGGCATTGCTGAGGAGTTTCAAGAGCTGTTATAGTGTAAATTTTCCTAAAGAATTTTGATAATTCACAATGGTGAAAAAATATTTTCACATTTAATAAAACAAACAGCTAAGGGATAAAACTCTAAGATTTCCTAACATCTATTTTACATAGAAAATACAGTGGCCTAATTTTGCAATCTTAACTGACCTGTTTGGCTTTTGGGTGGTGTTTTTTTTGTGGGTTTTTTTTGTTTCTTTGTTTTTCATTAGTACATTACATGAATCCACACAACCTGTGCACTATGTCATGTCTTCACCATTTAAAAGTATGTCCTTATCTGCAGTTAAGTAATAAAGTTACTTTCAAATTTTTCATCAGTGAACTGCTCTCCACAGCTTTTATTGCTAATACGTACATCGTCTTTCAAACAAGTTCTCAAATGTGTGTTTGGATGGCAAGACAGAAATCAAGAAAGTCCCTTCTCTGTACTGTGACCCACGCTTAATCCTAAACCTCTGCAGTATGACAGACATAACTGATAATTCTGATAAAACATAAATAAATCTAGCTTTGGCAAGCAAGAAACTGTTGAAATTTACCGCATTGATCTGTAAATCCTCATTAAGCACTATGATGCACTGGTTAATTAGAAAACTACTTACTCAAGATGCTCCCAAGGAACCCCTTTACACCCAGTGGTACTTGTGTCACGGACAGCTGCTGAACTGGGATGGTTATTTCATTTCACTGGGATGCCTCCAGGTGACGTGGGTGACACCCTGCACTGTTGTTCGTCGCGGCTGACCCGGTCTGCCCTCACAACTGCTGCACAGCAAGCTCCTGAAGACCACCAGTGCTGCTTGCCACGCACCCACCACTCTGGGGGATTTCCAGTACGTCAGACAGTTCAAACCAGGAAAACGCTCAATACAGGCCTACCACAGGGAAAGGTGCTTAGCTACTTCATCAGAGTAATTGTAATGAAAATGCTCAGTCCCTGCTGCAGCCGAGCTTCTTCCATTTTGGTACAGCTTTAAAAAAGATTTATTGGCACTTCATGGAAGTTGACATCATATCTTTGACGTCTTAAAATGTGCAAGTCTGTGTTGTTCACTAAGAAGTGTGGTCTTAACTGAGACAACTGCTGGAACCAAACACATGCACTCCAAATCCACTAGCTGAGATGGAGTAATCAGTACTCAACCTTTAATACATAAATAACAGTATTAGCACACAGAACCTGCTAGGATGGAGGATGGTCTGCTGGCTTATTAAATCAAGCGCTGTGATGACAGAAAGCTTGTGTCTTCCTCTCAACACAAATTTTCTATTGCAGTATGAAGTCTCTGGTATATTATTTTCATAAGATGCAGCTTTAATTACAGGCAAAGAACACTCAGTGCCTTCAAGCAGGTTCAGATTTTCTGCTATTGTTCCCAAAAGAAATCAGAGCATGTAACTTGAGGTGCAGACGTTTGCTAGCTACTGAAAAGTAGTTAGTTGCCTGTCAATGTAGTTATCAAAGAACCACAGGCTGATTTGCATTGAAAGGGACTTTGATCATCTAGTTCCAACCACCCCTGCCACGGGCGGGGTACACCTCCCACTAGATCAGGTTGCTCGAAGTCCCATCCAGCCTGGCCTGAAACACTTCCAGCAAGCAGACATCCACAGCATCTCTGGGCAACTTGTTCCAGTCTCTCACCACCCACAAAGTAAAGAACTTCCTATTCAATCTAAATTTACCCTCTGTTTTTTTCAAAACCATTACCCCTTGTCCCATCACTACAGGCCTTTGTTATAAGCCCACTTTAAGTACTAAAATGCCAACATAAGGCCTCAGTGAGTGTTTTCTTCTCCACACAGAAAAACCACAACTCTGAGCTTTTCTCCACAGGATAGGTGTGCCAGCCCTCCTCTGGATCAGAAGAGTACTCCAGCTGAATCAGCTGAACAGTACTCCAGGTGGGATTTCAAGAGAGCAGAGCAGAGGGGGAGAGTCACCTTCTTGCACACAGTTACCTTTATACAGCCCAGGATTATTGTAGAGACCAATCTCTGAACTCTGGAGAGTGGAGATTATGACTATTGCTGAATTAACCTGCTTTAGCTTATACTTGCAATTAAATTGTGTTCAGCTACTGCCCTCTGAACAAACCAAATTTTAAAAATTGGAGATATGGATCAAATAAAGGAAAGGAGGAAAGAGCCATTTTCATCAACCTGATACTATGGAAGCAGAGAACACTCAACATCAGATAGCCATAACAAGGGCTATCCAAATCTTAGAAAAATATACCCTTACTCATCACTTTTAAAGAAACTGGGTGATCTTTTAGAACTGCTGCCATATGCATCAGCTATGATAGCACTGCCACCACAGCTTTCTTAATTGCTCTCATTGAAAACTTCCTGTAAACTAGTGACTTGACATCTCTGCAGACAGCTTTAGAAGATCCTTCCCAACTACCTCATTTGTTTTTATTCATATATACGAGGATCACAGCCACAGCTAAAAATAACACTCCCTTGTTTCAAAAGCAAGGCAGAAGTATGCCATTTTCCTTGTGACACTAGGGAAATAGAAATCAGCAGGACAGAAAGCAACTTCAGAGTATGCACTGAATATGTAACACATGAAACTAAGCCTGTACTTAGCATTTCAGAAAGCTATCCTGGAGATTTTCCTATCCTTGAGAAAAAAAGAAATTTGTCAAAGATTTCAAGGTTCTCTTCCAGAAGAAGATTTACAAAATCTTGGTTGAGGAAGAAATCCTATCTTTTGCTCCAGTCTCATTATCCATATTCCCTCGATAAACACCTTGCAAAGCTTTCTGTCACAAGAAAAAAAAAAGCCTATTTTTCAAGCCTAACACCAGCAACAAACTATTACAACACCTGCAATGACGATAATGAAAGCAGTTTCATAAACCCCTGTGGCTCTTACAGCTGTGTACACTCTGCTCATAATACAAGTTTTAAAAGGAGATTAATCATGCCCTAATCCTCAAAATAGACTGATAAAAATCATGATGATGTCACACAATGATTCACAGATCCAGGATAATTACCTATCAAAACTTCTGCAAGTCTCCTGTTCAATGAGAAAGCACATTACAGGACTGAGGACTCCTGCTGTATGAATACAAAGCAAGTCTGGAGAAACAAGAAAACTGGTACTACAAATCAGGTAGTATTAGATGCCTACCCTGACTAACCTGCATATTTAATTTGAGACATGGGTTTCCTCGTGGCTATAACCACGTTTTATTAAATGCCCTGCAGTTTTATTATACAAGTAAGTTCTTCTTTAAATGTTTACGATTGACTTTGTACATACATGCAAATTATCAGGCTTTGTGACATGGCAAAATATTTTTTGAGAATCCATACAAATTAGCACTTTTTCTCTATTTTTTTAGTGTATTAAGTGGTCTGTGTAACTTCTACAAACGCTCTATACAAAAATTCAAAAGTATGAAAAAAAATCCAAAGTACACTCCAACAGCTAATGCTCTGCGAATACTTTATTACACAAATTACATTCAGCTTCTGAAAATAGTGTTCTAACAGTGATACCATCTAAAAATAAGACATCCCAGAAACACATCAAATTAAGAAGGAAAAAAAAATAAATAGAGACTTTTTTCTTTCCTTCAATGCAATATGTTAGTGATTTTAAAAAAATAGAAGATTCAGCAGCTTCATTTTCTTGTGGCACTGCATTTTCTCTGTACTGCAACAGGTTAAGGACATTGAAGAGGAAAGGCACAAAACAGAAATTGGCAACTTAATACTTATGGGAAAAATATTTTGATGAAGCAGATAGTAAGACTTATTTACAAGATCCCCAAATTTAGATGAAGAAATACTACTGCTTTAAATCAGTGCTGCAAATAGAAGACGGTTTGCTTTATTAAGATGCTCACACAAAAACAACTGCACTGATATGGAAATTCCATACACTCCTCTACTTAAAAAACAGAACTAAAACCAAACAAAAAATTAAAGGAACCAGTGTACAGTCCCACACAGACTAGTAGAGTTTGCAATTAAGTACACAAAACCTTAAACGTGCTTGAGGGAAAAGGAATCTGACATTCTGGATTGAAGCATATAATGGAGAACTCAAAGGCTGGTTTCAGGATGATGAAGGTGCTGGTGGGAGTGGAGGTGCTGAACACTCTTCCTCTGAGTCTGTGCCATCATCTTCATCTTTTTCTTGATCACTTCCTTCAGTGCTCAGTCGGTCAAACCCTTTTCGGCTGTAGTTTTTGTGACTTGCAAAGAAGTTCCCAAGATTAAGGCCACCACCACCTTTCCCTGTGGAAAGGAAAGGCTTGTCATAAGGTTTGCTCTACTGTACGAGGCAGAATAAAAATCTGTCTACTCATTCAGCAGTACAGTGGAGATTATTTTGTCTCCTTCCAGAAACTGTTTCTAAAGATCAGCACAAAAGCCACAAAAGCTAAGTATAGGGATTATGAAAGAGGGAAAAAAATCAGCCTTTGAAATTTCAAACTATTTTTTTCAGCATCCATTATTTCATTAAGTCTTTACACAGGTGATTTGTGTTCCCAGTAGTTTGCCCTTAGTCTCCAAGTGCTTAATTTCATTCACCACATCCACAGCTAGCTCCTTATAACAGCTACTGCTCTCCTGCTGGTAATGACACATCCTCGTCAGCA